TATAACTTTGATAGAATTCACGTACTTAGGGTTTACGGCCTCGGGCTTAGGATTTCTTGTTCTGGCCGTACTTCAATCCGACATCACAAAAACATGCGATAGTCTTCTCTGCTGTCGAGTCGGCTAACCTAATTTACATGTGATCCTCCAACTCCGCCTGCTCAACTGGGACTATGCCTTCTTCGAAGGGGCAGAAATCAAGCCTGTCACGACAGCGGCTTTTCCGCAGTCGAACAAGCTCGAAGGCATCGAATTCTGCTGCCTGGCCCTCAGGCAGAAGCGGACACTGCTGTCCCAATTGGTGAAACAAGTCCTTCCCTTTCGCAAGTGCTGCAGGATCCGTGTGCGGGTGCGGAAATCTCTGCAGCAGGGCCAAGAACAAGTCAACGCGACACTGACCTGAAGAGGTGCTTATGTACAAGGTGACCTGCAACCCCTGTGCGGCAGGCGACTTGAAAGCCACAGGTATCACAAACGGCAACAGACTGTGGTCAGCCTTGAGAGCATGTTTCTCCTGTATCAGACGCAGCACCTCAGGGGTGATATAAGGGTCCCTGGCAACTCGAGCTCTGGGAATTAGTATCCCAGCCAATGCCAGCGAATGGGCGGCTGGGCAACACCACCCTCCTCTGTCAGAGAAAAGGCCTCACGGCGCTGTGTCCGGAGGGCCTTGCGGTAACACAAAGTACACGCGACAGCATCATGGTCTTCATGAGACCGCGGAAGAGGAACCTCAAAGCTTTAGGAAGCCACAACCGTCGACTTATCAATCAAAGGCAAGCGATGTAATCTAGCCTGGCCTCGTGGACTGCAGGATTAGTCCACAAGCATGATCTGCCAGTGCGACTCAAAGGTTAACGGCAAGCAGAGGCCGTGCTCTTGCACAATGTAAAGAAGGGGAGCCGTGTTAGGCTTTTGCATCCAATCTCCGATGAGCTCAAAAACTTCCTGACTGACACGGGCATTCGAATCAATACAGACGAGCGGAAGGCTGCCTTGTCGCCAAGACTGGAACGCAAAGCAGTGTCCAGCTTCCTCCACCACGCGAAACGAACATCATCCTCGGTCTTTGACTGGGGCGCATGGGCGGGGCTTGAGTGCGAACAACCAGCAGGTCAGGGTCAGCCGAGACACGTGGAGATGCGAAGGCTTGAGAAAGAGACCCGTCCTCCCAACAACCGTACGGCCGTACGGGGTCTTGGTGTCGCAGAGACAAGCACAGCCATCCTGTACAGGGAGCGACTCAAGGAGCCAAAGGCATAGGTGGGCCTTCTGAGGTGGGGCACCCTTGGCCGCCCCCACGGGCACGGATTTCTCGTCCGCTTTCGCTTTGTTGGCATCGCCCATGACCTCGTCCAAAGACGTAGAATCGCTCCTTTTCCTGCGAGGAGTGCGTTCCCAGTATTGGTCTTCCTGACTGGCTGCAGCCTGGGAGGCGGAGCGAAGTGCCTCGATCAAAAGGCGTTCGTTCCTCCTGCTCCGCTCGATAGCCGCTTACCGGTGCTCATCCTGCGACAAGGCCACCGTCGCTTCCTGGGTTTCCATCTGCTCTGACCCAGAAGAAATCTCCTCGGCTGCACCAACACCAGCTTTGGACTGTCGTTCTTGGACATCTGTTCTTGCAAGAGCTCCGTAAGCCGTTGCAAGTAGGCAAACCATTCTTGTATGAACGCCCCGCCTGCACGCCTCACCTCTGTCAGTTCTCGTCGTGCTTGAGCTTGCAGACGAACTGAACGATGTAGCTGCTTCGCCGCCTGCTTGTTGTCGGCATTTTCCTGCGTGTCGAGGAGATCTCTGATCTCATGTGGCAGGTCGTCCCTCTTCGCCTGCCGCGTGAGCCAGAGGTCAGGGAGCTGCTTGGCAAAGCAGGCAACCGTTCGGTTGGTGGAAGCAAAGGCCAGAAAGGCACCATGGACGTGTTAGGGGGAACAAAGTGGAAGCGACATTTCAGACTTTGTGGTCAGTGCGGAAATCGATGCGAATTACAGCGGACAGCGCAACCTTGGGAGTATGGACAGTGGGCCATGCCGGCGTCTCCACTGCAGCGGACTTCCCCCCCGGAGGCGTATGGACAGTGGGCCATGCCGGCGTCTCCACTGCAGCGGACTTCCCCCCAGGAGGCGAGGCAAAGGCGAAGATACCAAAGGTAGAGCCTCCAGGAGAGCCGAAGGGGGCTGGACCTTCTTTTGGAGCGCAACTGCCGAAGGGGAACCAAATGCAGGACATGCCAGCTCCCAAAGTTTCGCAGCCGAGTGTCAGTGCTCCGGATGCCGCAGTCGATGGCACTCTGGACTCTGCTCAATCCCGTGCGCAGCCCTCCCATCCGGCGCGTCGATGCCACCCCGGTTCTCGGGTGGGCCTTCGGCCCGAGTGCCGCCCAGAAGCGGCAGCTTGGCCAAAGAGGAAGGCCAAAACCAGCAAAGCCAGCCTCAAAGGGCACCCAAAGCCCAAGTCCAGCCAAGAAGCGGGGGGCAACAGGAAACCAGGCCTCCTCACCGGTACAGCTCTGGCTCCGCACAATGCCCAGCCAAATAAATGTGGGGACAGACGTACAGCGCAGTGACGAGGTGGAACGACGTACGTTCGCACGGGGGGAAGGCCCTAGCATCGGATCGGACTCCCGAAGGAGAAACTACGCCCTCAGCTACCCCTGGGCCAAAGTATTAGGGCTCAGGGATTTTTTTAGGGGGTTTCGATTTAGCGTTTAGGATGAAGGCCCTTGTCTAAATCGTTTCTGCTGCAGAGAGCCTCATTGAGGCAGGCTTGGTGTGAACTGCTTGTAGGATGAGAGGCTCAAGATGGTTTAGGCTTTAGGGCTTCAGGGCTTACTTTTAAGGTTTAGGATTTGGGGGGCCAAGCGGCTCCAACGCTGACGCTTTTTCGTTGAGCTCAAGCCATATTTGGATTCCTCCTGTAATCAAGCGGATGCTCCTTCACTCAACGGGTTTTGGAGTCTCTGCGCAGCATCAACAATGACAAAGACCACAAAAGGGCAGCGTGGCTCTCTTCGGCTTTGAGTGGCTGGCACCGAGCTGCCAGAGCTGGATGCGTCCAACCTCGACAAGGAAAATGATACTAAAATAAAAACAAGAACAATGATAATAATAATAATAATGACAATCACACCAAGAACACTACCAATAACATGTACTCATGTAGTCACAACGAACCACGGAATCGCAGAAGCCCGGGGGCCAGACGAACCAGGCGCCTGCAAGCTGCAGCGCAATCTCAGGTCCAAGTACCGCGTGCTCTACACTGCCCCACCTCGCCCCGGACGACGACATTCAAAGGCTCGCCTCGGGATTCTGGCTGTAAGGCTTTCCAAGCAAACTTCTGCCAGCCTGGTGATCTTGGGGGTCCTTCGATGGATTCCTCGACCTGGCACTTGCAACAGGCGTTGCCCACGTGTTGCCCCTGTTTCTCTGTGCCCCTCTTTGCCCCACCCTGTCTGGATAGGCCAGCCCGTGTGGCGGGAGGTCCTTCGCCTCCTCTCCGTCCTCAACCGCGGGCCTGGAAGCAGGACTCTCTAGAACTGCACCTACGACCTACAAGCTGCAGCTTTGAGAGAACCAGCCTGAAACCCGTCTGCTCCGCGATGTCCTTGCCGACGCTTTGGCCCATGGCTTCGGCGGACGTTCCCCTCACCTGGCTAGAAAGACCTCCTCATACTCCTTGTACACTCAGGCAGCCCTCTCTGTCAAGTTACCAAACTTGTTGGCTGCAAGGCCGAATGATGCTCAAGGAAAGCTCAGCTGACCTGGGCCAGAACAGTCAGGCAGAGCTTGCCCGCACTGTTGGCGCACTCATCCATTCAGGTCTCGAGTCCGACATGCACATATAAGAGTCATATTAATACAAATACGAATACTAATACCAAAATAATACTATACTGGAATAGTATAAGTACTAATATTTAATATTGGTTTTCCCAAAGACCCCCGCTTTCTCCACCGCTTTCCTTTCCCGCTTTGTTTCCGGCGTCATCGGGATAGCGGAGGCAGCTCGCGCACCGGGGCAGAGCCCGGGCTCACGGCGCTCACGGCCATCTGCTGCTGCTGCTGGAAAGGGCCTAAGACATCCATCTGACATTCGTGGCATTCACGAACTCTGAGCATTTCCTGAGCCCCTGGCCAATAGCATCATTCCACTGAGAGGCATCTTTGTAGAACTTCTTCACCCAGTAGCGCATGTCCATTGACTGCGACAGGCGAGGAAGGAGGGGGTGCAAAACGTCCTGGAAGCTCGTCTGCCTCCGTCTCGCACCCTCGCTTTTTTCTCCCTGAGCGCCAGATCTGGAGTCACGACTGGCCGTCTCCCTTCGGAGATGCGCAGAGGAAACATGGGGCGCTCACACGAGCTCACCTCACTCCTGGACTCGCTCCTCTTTTGCCTCAGCCTCGGCCAGGGCCTGAGATGGATGGCCCTGGTCCTGGTGGTCACCGGGAAAGGACCCGCTGGCACTGGCCCGGTGCGTCTTCCGGAGTGACCGGGCCACCACATGACCTCCCAAACATCCAACAAAGAATCCAATAGGTTCAAGCGACATGGAAGAGTCCCTGCTGGCCTTTCCCAAAGAATCTCAGGAGCGAGTGGGTGAGGCCCTTCACCTCTTCCTCCCAAGACTGCAGTACTACAGTCCCCGATCCCATGCTCAAGCAACCCAGCGCATCGGCCGGTTCCTGGTACATCCGGCTGAACTTCTCCGGATCTCCCTCCGCTGCGAAAGCATCGATGACGATGGTGGTGAACATGTTCCTGAGCTGGCCAGTGCTGAGACGAAAGGAACAGCAAGTTCGAATCTCAAGGCCGGAGAGGAACACGTCGTGAAGATGCTCAGCTTGCACTGACACCACACAAGTTGACGAGAACGCGAGGCAAGAGAAACAGAGCCTCATGCTCCGCCAAGTCTCAGAATAATCGTGACCATAAAGACGCTGAAGACGAAGAGCGCAGCATACAAGTGGCTGCCTGCAGCCGAGACTTCGACTGAGAAGCGACAAGGCTGCGGGAGACCAGGAACCCTTACACTATGAACCCGTAACAGTGGGATGTTGAAGGACGCTCGACTGTCTGAAGCCTCACAATGCTGCCAAGGAGCCACTTCTCTCGATGAATGGCTGCATTCCTTGTGGCACATCTTTTTCTCTCTCTCGCTCATGCTCTTGCCGTTTCGAGCCGAGGAGCCATAGGTGGCACGTTCGGTCATGCCGAAGCTGTACACGAGAAGTGTGTGGAAGGACCTCTCAACAAGAATGTCGAGCCCTTTGACAGACGACCCTTCCTAACATGTCGGACGGGGCAAAGGTGCCTGTCGAGTGTCGAATACCTGAGTCACAGGGTGCCGGTTGCAGGGAGTAGAGCGAGAGAGAGCAAAAGAGGTCAAGAAACTGCTGATACAGCTCCCCGAAGTACAGTGTCCTGAGGCATCGTCAAAAAGCTCGCGCATGGTCTGACAGAAATCACTCTCACATTGCTGCAATAGCAAAGCGGCATCAGCAGCGCGAAGCCTGTGAATGTGTCTGCATGAGCGGCTAGGAAGCAGCATCTCTACGACTTCAAGCGAATCAAACACGGAATGCAACCGAAGCCTGCGACCAGCGCGACATACGCAATAACGAAGTTTATGAGCTTAAACTTGGCCAGGAAGATCCTTGGACATTGCAGCGACTGACTGGAGAAACGGAAAGGCAAAGATCCGTTCAGCCTGGTTTCGTGCGTGGGAGCCACCGGAGCCGATAGGTCAGGTTGAAGCTCTCCAACACACGCACGAACACCAAACCTCTCGAAGCACATCTTCGCTTTAGCCAGCGTGGAACCGCAAGGCATCCCAACTTCCCGCCTACTACCAAGGCATGATAGCTGCCCTCTTCCTCAAACAACAGCTGAAAGACGAGCTCCCCGGCATATTCGAGCCCACTAAGACTTGTGCACCTCAGGTACATGAAAACTGTCAGCCACATGAGCGGCCACTTGCCAGCCCTGAGCTCGGGACTCGTGCAGGTAGGTCAATATGCTCAGGCCATGCTCGACATAGACGCCACGTAGCGAGTTGATGATCCACTCCTGACCGATGCCCTTCGAGGCCCCCGATTGATCTCTGGAGGGCAACACACATTCAACTAATTTCTCAAGTTTAGTTATGTCCTTGTTTGCCCGTAGCCAGGCTAGCACACATCGATCACCTAAGATCCCCGCCAGAAGCAGAAGGGCTCAGCAAAAAAGTCAAAAACTGAGCAAGCAGCTCATCCCACCCATCGGCATTGAGTTTGGCATGAGAGCTTCTCTCGCCTTGCCGAGGGGTCACCCTCTTCAGAACTTACCTCAACCGTAAACCCAAAACCCTCAAGACACCGCGCTTTAAGATCGGCACGGCTTGCACGCATGCAGCCACAAAACTAATCCCGATCAGCCGTTCGATCCTCAGCTCATGGAGATAAGACTTGCGAGGATGACTCGGGTTCAGGGTTTAGGGTTCATTCGCACCGGTGAACATGATTTGTCAATGGGTCCGATGTCAATGGTGCACCCAAGCAACACAATCACGACCGACTGCGAGGTGCGACTCAACACACCTTGGCCAACACGACACATGGCAAGTTTGTTGATGTCTGCTCAACGGATTCAGTGGCTGCCAGGCTGCTAAACTCGAAACCCAAGACCTCAACCTCTTCAACCAAGGGGCCCCTCGCATCGACGATGTACAAGACTTTCAACCAGAGCAAGTGCTCGATTTCCTGCCACATCTCTATCTAGGTCTTTATGTGTATGTGTGTGTGTGAGTTTCTGTGTGTGTGTGTGTGTGTATGTGTGTGTGCGTTTGTGCATATGTGTCGTTCGAAAAAACATCTATACAGACATATGTAGTATACATGTAATATATAATAACAATAGAACATATATATATATATATGCTGGGTTGAGCCCCCAGCCCCTGCGACAAGTTTTAAGGATTGAGGCCTTCACAAGACCCACAAGACCCCCAACTGCCCGAAACCCTGACTCCTGCCTTGCCGTGGGAAGCTCCGACGTGTGCTGCTGTGCAAATCAATTAGACATTCAACTTTGAAGCCGTAGACCATGAAGCTTACAGCCTTCCACCCGAAGCCGCAAGTTGTCCGCTGCTCGCTGCTGATTTTTTCGGAAACGGTAAAACTTGCACTGGTGCGAGCAAGGCACTCACACAAAGGCTGTTCAATTGGTCCTGGGTCCGCCTACCTTCAGGAAAGAAGCTGCTCCTCAGGCAGTTGAACGATGCCATCCCCCAGGTAAAACACATAGATGTGTCGTATGTGTCTTTCAGGATGTCCGGCGCCGTCGAGATGGCCCTGCCAGCAATCTGTCATGTGACATCTACCAACTCTACCACCCTCAGCAGCCCTAAGTGAAAATGCTTCAAAGTCACGTGCAGTAGGCTTGTACGTCGTCGGCCGGGATCTTTAGGATGCCGGGCTGCACCATCGGAAACATGGCGGATGCGACGACGTCTTCGATGGTGGCATCAGCGCTGCGGGGGGCCGCCACTGCCGTCCACGCATCATCGGACCCCTCGGCCATCGGCTTGGCAGCGGAAGATGCCGCTGCATCGGTCCTGCCCTCGGTCCTGCCCATTGCAGCACCTCTAGCGAACCTCTGGACACGTGGGGGCGTGACCTGAGGACCTGGGGTCCTGGGTGCCTGCGAGCCAAAGCATGGTAAGCAAGGCAACAGCTCACAAGCTAGTTTGCCTCTCAACAAATTCTGTCATGGATGACTGAAATCATGCCAGGCGGGCCTTCTGAAGATCTCCTTTTTGTTGAGCAGACCTGTGGGCCTGGGGACCTAATCTGTGCCTGGGGCCGTGAATAGCAACGGCAAGCAACAGAAGCATTCACGAGGCCCAGAAACGCCAAAAAATTAAAAATTCCCGAAAGCTCTACCTAGTTCTGTATATATATATGTATATAGATATACATATATACATAGATATATGTATTTATATACAGATATATATATATACACACATACACATATCGACACAGAATGCTACTTGTAAGAAACGAAGAGTCCTCGTAGGAAGTGCCTTGGATGCTCTCAGTCTCTTGCTCTCGGCTAAGGGTTTACGGGTTTAGGGTACAGAGGGCTTCATTGCTGAAGATAACAGCTGCATCGAGTTGAGAAAACTGCACGAAAGTGCCACCGAGCCGCTCGGTAGATCCAGCCTTAGCCATACTGATGTGCGCTGGTAAGCTTCACGGCAGCGCATCAGAGTTGCAGGGGGGCGCCGTTCATTAGACGATTTGGATTGCCGCACTGCTTTACTTGGGAGATGCCACGCCCGAATGTCCGACTCCGGAACACCTTCAAATCACTGATGTCGGAGCTTTCTTCTGGGGCAAAGCCTTCGTCAGGCATCGAAAGCCCAGCAACTGCAAAATTCATCTCGGATGGCATTCCGGAGCTTGGCTTCGAGCTCTTTTGGGGTATCGGACTGTTCTGCGTCGATCCAAACCCTCAGAAGTGTCTATGGTCGCCGTAGGCTTCAGTAGGTTTCCAAAGGCTGTCAAAGGCTGGGTGAGGCTGGGTGTTGTTGTTTCGAGCCCGTGGCTTTTCGCCGAGGCTGGCGACGAAGTAATTTGGACAAAGGGCTGAAGGACGCGCAGGAGGTTCAGTGGCAAGAGGATGAGCGTCAATGTAGTGTCGAAGAGTGTCAGGAGGAGGCACCTCGGTTCTTATGATTCACAATTGCCCTTTGAAATCCTTGTGGCTCGTTCTCTCTGACGTGCCGAGGGGCAATGTGAGGGTTATGAACATCATGACGATCATCGTGGTGGAGGCAGCTCCCACTTGACTCTTCACCGTAATGCGCAGATCGGCCTTGTACCAGCCTGGGGCTCACCAGAAAAAAGCAGAGAGTGCCAGGCACAAGATTCGAGCCTGCGCCCGTCTCAAGCTGCTTGAAAATCATGCGGATGTGCATCCGGGTGCCGCAGCGGCCTCGCTCCTGAGTCGCTCAGGACGGAAGTGGTAGTGCTTCTCATTAAAGCCAAGGGTCCGCGGGCTTCAGAACACACATTCAGCAGCGAGAAAGAGAGGAAGTTGCTGCATCGTCAATGCCACTGAGGCGCACTTTTGTGCCCAGGTGACGATGGAACCTTGGCAGGAGAGACCTTTTAAGCTGATCGACCGGCACCACATGAAGGTAATGCTTGCAGAAGCTACTCTCGTGGAGGCAGCGACCAGTGCAGGCAAGAGACAAACCCAATCTGGTACAACACTGAGATGTATTCGGGCTTGCAGAGCCCAATGAGACTGAAGTGGTGGTTCCTGCACTCCAGGTTCAAGTAGCCTGCACGGACACGTGCGGAGGGCAAAGATCACTGCTGCTTGCATCTACTTGCCTCTCACCGGGAATTGGAGCTCTGAGAGATGACTTTCGGCAAAGTCCAGGAACTCCTTCACAGGGCAGGGGAAGACTCAGGGCAACCTTCCTTCGTTTCTGGGCGTCCTTGGCACTGAGCGACTGATTGCCGTCGCCGTGATCGTCATGGTTTATCTCGGCAAGCAGCTCGGTGCTTTTGATTGCCGTGACAGCGGAAGCAGTAATCGCTGTGCGCTTCAGAGCGAAATCACGACTCGAGCGAACTGGCCATAAGAGAAGGCCGGGGTGATCGCATGAAAGGTTGTGTTTGCTCTGATACGCCCCGTCCCTCGTTAGGGTCATTGAACCTTGTTCAGCTAGCACCTTGCTTCAGGATCCCGATGATGCAAACCCCACAACTTTGGGTCGACCAGGTTCAGAAAAGTTGCTGACTGCCAGAGCCTCTCCAAGCTATCACCTCAGCTGACTGTCCCAAGCGGCAACAGACTGAGCCCCGCTGAGGGCAATTCATTCGTCTTAGGATTTGCGCTGTGGGGTTCTGGTTTGGCTAGGTTGAAAGTCCTGTGGTTTGATGCAAGGCTTTGGGCTTAAAAAATAGAGTCTAGAGCCTAGGGGTTTCAAGGAACAACTGCCATGGAAGATCTCCGCGCTACCTATACCAGCACATGGCAAGCTCTTAGAAAAGACAGGGACACGACAAACCGAATCTCTCGGAGACTTCGGATTCTATCAAGTCTTATTGGAACGACCTCCTTCTTCCTAGGAGGAACCCAACACTCTCATTGAGGTTCCGGGCCCTTTGCAGCCAAGCGGCCTGTGACGTTTGGCATAACTTCCTCGGCTCTCGACTGCCGTCCCAGGGGAGGAGCCGGAAGGGGGGGGAAGAAACATAGGAAGGGAAGCTGGCATCTCTTTTGAATCTTGTATTGGAGTCATCTCCCATTTTTCAAGTTGGGACCCTGATAGCATGATGTCACTCACTCTGACCTCAACCCCGGTATCTTCTCTCCAGGTGTCCTTCAGCATTGCCTCCGCCGAGTGCTTACCCATGCTGGTGCTTCCCTGGCCTGACCAAATTCGAAGGGACGCTCGACTTCAACAGCCGTGCTGCACAGCTTTCGAGCCTATGTGCCGGGACCAGAGATCTCGCAGAAGCCCTGCAACATCGCTGGTGTCGAAGCAGCCTGACAGCACATGCGAGAAGGGAGCTTAAGCTCGAAGAAGCTTCAGACGCCTGGTCCGTAGTACTGATCGTCTTCCTCGACCTTCTCCCGTTCCTCCTCTCCTCAGCCCAAGCCCAGCACCCCACAAGGCCCACCCCAAAAATGACCAGGAGCCAAGCCAAGGCGCGCTGAGTTTCGTTCCACTGGATCGGCTGCCGGGAACTCCCACGGCCGCCACGTCCGGATTCCAGAAGGCCTCGGCTCGATCGGCCCGGCTTTCGGAGCAGAAAATCTCACAAGTCAGAGACTGAGTGGTGGGCTTCCGCTTCCGGGTTGAGCCTGTAGGAGGGAGCCACAACGAGGCAAGCCCCTCAGCCCCTTTAGGTTTTTAGGGCCTTCGGCGCCTTCGAAGGCCTTCCCTCTCCTCTGCCCTTCCCCCACGCCTCCACGTCAAGCAGCCACGGATTTCCTGGCAGTTCAGGTTCGCACGCCCGGCTGAGAAAAGCAGAAGACGTCCGACAAAGCCAAGCCGGGAGAGCGTCGGTGGAGCCGAGGGGAGCCATGCCCTGACAGCCGCGGAGGCTTTTATGGAAGATCTCAGATCTTCGAAGCCGAGGAAGACATGAGAGTTTCAGAAAAAAACATCTACTCCCTAGGCCCTAGTAGTCCCTTACTTCCAGAAACTGGACGGCTCAGGCCAGGACCTTGCAGCGAGTGTGGGTCATCCTGACTTCGGCATAGGAGACATGCCACTACATGCCGGCATCAGATGAGGCCTCGGGCTGTTCCTCCGGGGGCTCGGGGTCCAGATGGAGGGCCCTGGTGATCTTGTCCATGCCCTTCTGCGTCTCTTGCCTTGGACAGGTGTGGCATGAAAACCATTACGAAGAAAGGCAGGCCACGTACCTGCTCAAGGCTTTGATTGCATATGCCAAAGCACGCATCCTTGTGGAGCTGCACGAGTCGCTGGGTGATGGCAGTCTGCAAACAAGAAATTCCGACAGACCATGCGTTTGCCAGGCGCGCCCCTGTTCCGCAACTCGGCCCTGCCTGACCGTGACCGCGGTTTGGAAAAAAATCGAAGTCCTCGATGCTTGCTCGTCGGCTTGCAGGCATTGGGAAAGAGGTATGGTCTGTGTACGTGTCATCGTGTCATAATGCAAAAGCCTCACAGATGCAGGTGGCGTGGCCCAATCTGAACGAGCTGCTCGGTGCAGGTCGCTGCCGCCAGTCGCTTTATTGACCACTTCCTCGTCAAACCTGCTGCCATCACAGCAGACAGCCCCTCAACCCAAAACCAAGACATTTGACCCTACAATACACCCCAGGCCCTAAACCCTAACGTTCATGAAATGCTCCTGGCAATCCCAGAGATTCCCCTGCCGAGCTACGCGGTCACGTTGCCCCAGGGCACTTTCTTCGGGTCGTCGCCTCAGGGACACCGAGGCTCCCAGAGTTTGGGATCTCAGGGTTTTGGGGTTTGTAGAGCCCTAAACCCTAAACCCTATAAATCCTAACCCCTAAACCTTGAAGGCTTGCTAAAGCTTCGGGGCTTCTATGGAATAACGGCTTTTGAGGTGGCCATATGTCACGGAGGATAAGTTGCAGCCGAAGGCTCCGATGGCCACGTGGTTCTGGAAGAAGATGTCACCTCTGAGAAGCGAGTAGGAAACGGTAGGGCAGAGAGGGGTTAGGGTTTCGGGATGTTTCGGGCTTCAGATTCAGGAGCTGCGTGAGCCGAGATGCTGCAGATGGTCTGCATAGCCCGACGTCGTTCGTTGGCAAGCTCCTGCCGGCAACCCCAGGCGGAGGCTTAGAAGACCTTGGTCTGCCTGGCATGCGCTCGCCCTTTTTGTCGGTCCTTAGAAGCATCGTTAACCTTCGTCTCGAAGATGCCTGCCCGGAGCAATGCAAGTTCTTCCCGAAATTGCTGCGAAGGATTTCTTTGACGTGGTTTCTACCGGATTTCGTTGACGTGGTTTCTACAGGACGGACTGGTCCTGCATGGATGGCATGATTCGCGGCGTGATGTGGGATGTGAAGATGTGAGGTCTTCTTGTCTTGAGGCTGATGGATCGCAAAGTGCGAGGGTTTCGTGAGGTTGCACCTTAATGAATCGAAGTTAATGTGTGTTAATGGACTGCACGAATCGCCGCACCTCCCTAAACCACCCTGCGCATGTGATGCCGTGACTATTTGTCCTCGGATCTGAAAACCCTCTGCCCTCTGCTGGCGATGGCGTGCTTGGGCACGCGAAACAGTGCTGTGTGTGTAGTGCCGCTGCGTGTCGTCATCGGACTGACATCCCTTTCGGTGGACCCATACTCAGGAAAGCGCGATTCATTATTAACTCTTAGGCATTCGCCTGAATCTGATAAGCCTCTCGGTGCTGCCCGCCGGTCCGAGTGCTGCATGTTTCGCTGGGCAGTGTAATCCAGAGCATCGAATCAGGGCTGGTTCTGCTGCTTCGATCAGTCTGAATCCTGCCAGTACATGGGGGATGACTTCTGGCGATGGAACCATTTCGGCCATGCTCCTGAACCCTGCCAATAGATTCGTGCTCGGTCGTCTCTCTGACTCTGAATAGTGCAGGGACACGGAGAGACTTTTTGGCGGTGATTGTGAATCCCGCCAGAACATCGGAGGAAGCATTTTGGTCGCGCTGCAGCGATTCGCGCTGGGAATTGGCGACCCTCTCCGCGGTGCACCCAGCGTGTCCACATCCTCAAGTGAGCAGCATCGATTTGTAGATTTCAATACGTTGGGCCTCGCGTGCGTGCGGTCCGCGTTGATTCCTCGGAAGGTCTGAACCAACCAGTACAGCCGGGGGGAGGGGAGGGAAAACATGCTGGACCGACATCCCGCATGTCTCTCTATCCGCCAGTGCGTGAAGGGAAGCTGTTTGGCCGTTAGTCTGGGAAGTGTTTTGGTCGAGGATCTGTAGAAGGGTTAAACAAAAAGCTGTATGGAAGGGCCTGTAAATTACAGAAGGGTTCAACAGAGTTTACAGGAGATTTTGGTCAAGGGGTTCTATTCCAGACCACGCTATGGAAGGGCCTATAGAGCAGTTCATAGGAGGGTTGGCAGAAGGCTTTCTGCTGGGAGTGTTTGCAGAAAGGTTTGCAGAAGATTGGAAGAAGGGCTTTATAGAAGAGTTATGAAGAGCTCAAAGAAGGCTTCATAGAGGGTTTAGAGCATGGTTTATAGAAGGGTTCATAGCCGTGGGGAGGGAGGGAGGGAGGGAGGGAGAG